CGCTTGATCACGACTTCATTTTGGCGCCTTTCTACTTCCATCCATTGCTGTAACCTAATTGCTGTGTGGATGTTTCCTCTTGTTTATAATATACGATAGGGTGGGCATACAGGCGTTGAAAATAGTCTTTGGGATACCTCAGCGAACTGGGCTACGGGGGGGGAAGGGGCGGGTTGGCGTTTATTCTCATGTATCGTTTCTCATTCCTCATAAACTAAAACTGGCCATCAAACTTTGACCGACCGACCGCTCACATAGACTTTGAAAATGTTCCGATCATCTCCAGTCATCACAAACTTCTCAAATATCACCTGAGTGGTATCTTCATCTTCGACTGGGCTCATCACTCCCAGTTGATCAAGATCGGTGGTATGAACTTCGAGCGCATCGAACTCTTTACCAACAGCAAAATTACCGACTCGGTCATCGAGACCACACACTTGCGCGCCACCCAGAGTAGCGAGAAAGAAGCCCTCGTGCAAGGAAAGCGCAGGGTCCCGTCCTTGTGTCAACATCTGCTGCGCATTCGACACAATGAAGGCCTGTTTCATGGCATCTAATATGGATGACGAGTAGCCACCGCCACTATCAGTTCCCAGGCCCACCTTGATACCGCGGCGGAGATACTCTCGTATGGGTGCTACCATAAAATCTTGCATAGTGGTGTTGGCGATTGGGCAGTGGGCAACCCCACAACCAAGCTCTTGAATGCGACGCATCTCTCCTTCTTGTAGAAAGATACAGTGAGCAAGAATGGATCGATCATTCAACAGACCATATCGTTGATAGAGGTCGGCTTCCGTGTCAAACTCCGGGAAGAGCTGACGCGTGAACTCGATCTCTTGCTTTGCTTCATTGAAATGTGTTTGTATTGGAATATCGGGATGTTCACGGGCGATGGCACCAATCCCATCCAGGAGTTCCGGTTCACAAGATATCGCAAAGCGTGGCGTCAGTATTGGTTTCACCAGATGGTATTCCGGATCAAGTTTCTGAACATGGTGAATGAGCTCACGCGTTTCGTGCAGTGAGTCGGACACCGACGGATCCCGATACCAGTCCGGGGCATTCCGGTTCATGTTACACTTGCCCACGAGAGCGCGTTGTCCTTTTTCGAAGCAGACATCAGCCAAAATTCGAGTTGCCTGTCCATGATGTGAGCCATAATATGATGCGGTGGTAATGCCCTGCTGCAAGAATCCCGTCACACAAGAGGCATACATGCGTTTGGCATATTCTGGATCTTCAAACTTGGCCTCATGGGCAAAAGTGACCTTATTCAACCAGTCGAGCAAGGAAATCCCTCTTCCGACACCACGCTGTGCCCACTGAGGTGCATGGTTGTGGGTATCAACAAAGCCGGGGCACAGGAATTCCCCACGCTTGAGATATTTCACTGGGAAGACGTCGGGTATATGGCCATTTTCTGAGACAATGGAGTTGATCTGATCCAGTTCCACGTTTTCTTGTAATGCCTGGATCTTGCCGTCTGTTCCCACAATCACAATGCAATTCTCCAGGATCTCGAGCTCATCCAAACTGCGGGAATGAATTACCGTGCCGTGAAAAGCGAGGGGGAGCCCGGAGGTCGGACTGACATTCTTGTCGAGTTCTTCCATGATACACAAGAAGAACGATCACCTATATCTATTCTGAAATGATGGCTGGAGTCCTGGATAATATAGAAACGAGATGAAGATGGAAGAGCGCTAGAGTGAGGGGGAGGGCATTAATAATCGGCATATGCCCAGGTGCCCAGCTACTCAGCAGGTGGAAGCCTGAACATCAAGAAATAACCCGTGATTGCGACGCTCCTTATTGTTCTAGCAGAAATCCAAGAAGTAAGCCTGCTGTGCTTCGAATCTAAATAGTATATTTCTCTCGATTAAGTGGGAGTCTTAATTGTCGGTATCGATTCGACTTGTCTGTTTTGAATTTTGACAAACTCGTAAGGTATTAACATGAATATAAAAAGTTTGGCCCGATGGAAAACTCCGTCTACCTCCGATAGACTACGGTTTAAATACAAAAAAAGAGATTCGTTCAAAGGGTATAGTATGATGCCATCTCCTCTTGGAACCAATTGTAGGAGTAGAAGAGTTGTTCCGCCATCTGGGGATCGATCATAGGGACAGTCCCGCTGCCATCTACGAGTAACACATCGTCAAGAACTGGAGCGAGTGGGACTGGAGGTGGAGGGGGTGCGGCCAAAGACATGGGGTGAGGTGGGAGGAGTGCAGGTGGAGGCGGTGGTTGTAGTTGCGGTTGGTGCTGTGGGTGATGGTGATGTTGCTGCTGTTCTAATTGCTGCTGCTGATATGCCATTTGGCTGAAGATCACTGTGCTCTGATGCCGGAATGTCTCTGCCAATCGGTCCACCCCAGGCCGACGCTTGCCAAATTCTTCCAAGAGTACGACAACGGCCTGAATGCCACGTCGCATCGTCTGTTCTTCAGGGTGCCAAGGGGAAGGCTGGGACTCGCGCAATGAGCGCGCATTCTGCTCAAGGCACCACAGGATAGTGATACCTGCAAAATAAACTTGACTCAGTGTTAGCCAGATCCATTTCAGCTTGCCGACTGAATAGCTGTCCCAATATGATCGAATGACTTGGATACTAGATTCGCCACAGCTGATGATACTGGTTATGTCGGGTGTCGGATTGCGGGGGCTGGGGCGGTACATCAAGAGAAGGGTCGTGTAATAAAGATAATCGTAATAAGATGTAGAATAGAGAAGTGCGGATGGGTATACGGGAGCCGTCATGCGCCAGTCATCAACCTCATGTCGGAACCGACTGAGCGTGGCGGTAGCTTCTTGGGGTGACAGTCGTGGTAGGCTGCTATATACTACGGGCGAAACAGTCAGATAAGAAAAAGCAGACAGGATTCCCAGACTTCACTTACAGTATTGATAGATGCGCGAGAATATCCGCCGCAGACGTGTCACCTGCAAGGGTATCGTCATCGCGCTGGCACCAGGCGCTTCGGTTTCGTCGTCGTTGAGTTCTCGCAGAAGACCCACGCTAATATCATCGTCGGCAATTCCTAATGGCCGACCCAAGGTGCTAGCGATGAGACGATCCAGGTTGTAAAGACTCCAAAAAGCGCGCTTGGCCATCTCCTCCTCGGCAATGCTAGGATACGGCCGCGCTTTGTGCAAACCCATACTAATCGACAACCTCATCGTCGCGCCCAACACATGCCAGATGCTGGGGCCAGCAGTCGCAAACATGGTATACAAGGCCAATCCCAGCAGTGCCCGCACAGCCGGCAAGTCTTCATTTTGCAATGCCAGTGGGAGGGTCTCCTGGCTGGCATGGTAAAATTCAGCTGCTTGGCTCGGGTCGGCAGACCCAATCAGAAGCGAAATGGCAATGACGATATGATAAGTATGATGCGTTTCCGGCGACGGAACACCACCAGTATAGATATGGCGCAGATTGGCCATGAACTCCGGACGAGACAAGAAGGGGTATTGGTATCCCATGCTATTGAAATATTGTCCGGATAGCTTTTCCGCTTCCTCTAGCGACGACAAGCGCATGACTCGCGGCGCGGAGGAAGGCCGTGCGACCGACGGTCGGCGATGCTCCAGCTGATCGCGAAAGATCTCGCCGATGTTGGGCAGTTCGGTGCCTACCCCTGTCGATGCCTCTGAGGGTCCTGCAGTCGCAGAAGAGCCACCACTGCCGGCAGGGCTCGGCATTGAGGTCGGACGATTACCCCCGGTCGCAATCATAGCGGGCACCTGATACCACCAGTCCGGATCTCCCTCGCCATCGACTGGTGTTCCCGTCGGTAATTCCGCCACAGAGAGGCCCGACTTGCGGCGGACGACCTCCTCCAGCCATTGTACCCTTTTCTGCAAATTCTCTAGTTGATCTCGGGGAACGGAGGCGCTAGCGACTTGGGGACCGGGCGGGGGTATGGTGCATCGGACTCCGGCGCGGGTGCAGGCGGAACAATTGGGGTAGCGAAAGTCACATTTCTTCTTCCTTTTGCGACAAAAATCACAGGCAGTCGATACTCGTTTGCTGCGAACGTGACTTGAGACATCTATAGACTCATGAACAGGAGGTGGTTGAGGCCAAGTTGGGGTATAAGTATTAATCGAATCCAGGCGGAACTTCCCCAGCTGATCGCGGAAATCCTTATTTCCAGATGTGCTCATGGTCGGGGGTCACTTAAACTATCCATTTCCCACATCCACCAATTGTCATTGAAGTAAGCACACGTTCATCGTACTGTACTTTGTATTGTTGAAGAAGGGAAGATATGAAAAGTGGGGAGAAGAGCTTAGCCCCCCGGGCCCGGTACTTTCGCTTACATAGGCGAAGGGCCGATGGCCGAAAGAGTTATCATTTTGCGAGATTACTTGTACTTTGAATGTTTTGTTCGTTTGCTTTTTTCTATTTTAATTCAATTATTCTATATTATCTGCGTATTGATACATATATCGGGGATTATATCTTGATATTCCTGTTTCATCGGGCTTATCTTGGGGATTTCAGGGTTACTTGGCATTTTCTCGGCAGTTGAATCCATCTACAACATACTATAAGGTCTCTGATCATATGGAGGTTGAATTATTGAATGAGCCATCTAGACAATCTGATACCTTACAGGTGTATGTAGAGTCTATTCATTTTACCAGGTCCCCCTAAACCGCGGTATTCCCGGGATGCTATGTACCAACCAAGTGCAACGTTGGAAGATTAAAAGAAAACATACAGGAACTGATCTACAAGAATCGATCTACATTGTACATGCCTGAAGTAGGATAAGAGAAATGGACCCTCATGTTTCCATTATACAACCTTATACTGCATGATATCCTCGTATTGTTGTATGGTCCCCGAGGTTGCAATTACATGAAGCTTCATTCATTGCCTGGAAAACACATAAATAGGCCCTCAGTTCCTCTCCCAAACTCTTGATCACTGATTCAAACTGACTACACTCTCTACTTACTCTTTCAATCTTACTCTCACTCTCACCATGAAGATTAATGCCCTCCCCCTCCTGTTCGCCACTGTTGCCAGTGCCAGTGTCCAGGGCTTCGACATATCCGGCTATCAACCCAAAGTGGACTTTGCCGGTGCTTATGCAGCTGGTGCCCGCTTCGTTATGATCAAGGTAGGCTTTGACTTTCCCGAAGTTATTACGGATCCCTTCTCTGCCATGATACTAACTATATCAGGCGACTGAGGGTACCAACTTCATCTCCAGCTCTTTCTCGAGCCAATACACGGGTGCCAGTAGCGCAGGTCTCATCCGTGGAGGATATCACTTTGCCCAACCCGGCAGCAGCAGTGGTGCTGCACAAGCCACTTACTTTCTCGCCCACGGTGGCGGTTGGTCCGATGATGGCCTGACCCTGCCCGGCATGCTAGACATTGAATACAACCCGTCCGGCGCAACCTGCTATGGGCTCAGCCAATCATCCATGGTTGCCTGGATCAAGGACTTTGGAGAGACCTACAAGAAGACTGCAGGTCGGTACCCTATGATCTACACAACCGCCGACTGGTGGAACACTTGCACTGGTGGCAGCACGGCATTCAGTCAGGACTACCCGTTAGCTCTGGCTCGATACAGCACTTCGGTCGGCACTATCCCCGGTGGCTGGCCTTTCCAGAGCTTCTGGCAGAACTCGGATGCGTATAGCTTCGGAGGTGATTCGGATATTTGGAATGGCAATGAAGCCTCTCTGAAGACATTTGCCAAGACCGCTGCTTAAAGCAATTGGTCTGATGACAATTCCCCACAAGATAAACATGTATCTATTGGATTATGGTTCATTTTATGCAGATCTTTGTGCAGATCGCCTGGTTTTTATCTTTTTGGCAGCACTGGAATTGACTGTCCGTATATACCAGACAGACCCTCTTACAGTAATTGACGGCAAGTTCATATGCCCTATAAACCCTTGTCGCTACCAAATCGGCATCAGACTATCCATTGCCATGCAATTTTGTACCCAATTTTCATACACCTGATATTGACCTTAAGTGGATACAACCTTGGAATGTTGTAACTAATGACTCATTCTTATTCATCGTGACAGGCTGTATGCACGTGACTAGGATCTATATCCATTGTGTATTTATACCATCCCTTGTCGAGACAATTTACTACTCATGGAGCCAAGAATCAAGCGGTAATGACTTCTTTCAATTTTCACTCAGATGGTTTTCTTGTGAAAGATCTCTCTGTCGTATATCTTCTACCGACAGCCCTCTTGGGCTTTCTTGTTGTCCTCGCATGGCGTCGGAGGGAAGAACCGGCAATACCGACTGTCAACTCATACTCCGGTGATATAACTTTGAAAAGAGCTCAGGCGAGATTCACATCAGATGCCAGGGGGTTAATCAGAGAAGGGATTGAGAAGGTAAGTTGGATAGTTTTCATAACAAAACACTACGTCTAATGTAGAAACTTCAGTTCAATGGCCCATTTCGCATTATAACGTCTCTGGGCTCTCGGGTTATCCTCCCAGCTTCCTATACTGAATGGTTCAAAAGCTGTCTGGATTTAGATCATCAGGCGCTTGTCCACGATGTATGTTGCCGCCCCCTCTACTAACGAGAGATGGGAATTGACACACGGTTTCATACAGCAATATTTTGCGGCATACCCTGGGATGGAAGGACAGAGAGTTGTCACTGACCCTAGGAAGATTCTGATTAATGTCACCAAAACGAAATTGAACAATCAGAGCGGTCGTATGTGACAGCTTCAGGGCCCATGGTCTATATTGGAGTCTCACTAACATGGTCTTCCATCACAGAGTGTGCGCTGTTTCATGAACATATTACGGAGGCTCTAGAAGAGATTTGGATGGACCGTGACGGTAATTTTGCTCTAAATTTTGCCAAAGTGCTTGATTGACTTATTCTTCAGATTGGCACACCGTTGATTGGTCTCAACATGCAGTCCGCTTCGTCGGGCGAATGTCAGCATCTGTCTTTGTCGGACCGGAACTAGCTCGTGATCCTAAGTGGCAAGAGCTAATTCTAACTTCGACGATGAATACCTTTATGGGGATTCGATCCCTCCGCGCTTGGCCAGCCTTTCTTCGTCCATTAGTTCATTGGTTCTTGCCAGAACTCAGAAAATGCCGTCAGCAACTTCGCCTTGCTCGTCTGATGTTGCAGCCAATCTTCGACCGCAGGGGGTATGGGCAATCTCCCTCTACTAAACCTGATAAGATACAAAATTTTGAGGATACCATACAGTGGCTTGAAGAAATCGCTGCTGGACGCCCATATGATGCCGCTGCAGCGCAAATTGCGTTTGCGATAAGCGCAATGCACACAACTTCTGAGCTACTCAAGCAGGCCCTATTGGATATCTGTATGCATCCAGATCTGATTCCGGTTCTACGGGATGAAGCACAGCAAGCTGTCGAGGAGAGCGGATGGACAACTGCGGGTGTTTTCAAGATGCAGTTGTTGGACAGTGCAGTAAAGGAAACACAACGGCTCAAACCGGGGTCTTTAGGTATGTGTCTACTACTTCTGCCAGCTCATCAATTCTCTCATGTCACGGCACTAAATGCATGCTCTCGCAGCAAATCTTGAGCGAAAGGCCCTGCGAGATGTTATCCTTCCCAATGGCGTGACTATCCCTCGTGGAACAAATGTTGCCGTTGATTCATCTATGATGTGGGATCCAGCAATTTACCCCAATCCATTGTCTTATGATGCTTACCGTTTTCTTCGTCTTCGGAAATCGGGTAATGCTGCGGCAGCACTCGCATCCACGAGCCCGGAGCATATTGCATTTGGGATCGGCAAGCCAATTTGCCCTGGGAGGTTCTTTGCTAGCAATGAAGTCAAGATTGCTCTGGCTAAGATTCTATTGACTTACGATGTCAGGATTCCCGAAGGAACGACACCCAAGATTGTGGAAATGGGATTTGAAATGCTGAGTGATCCAGATGCGAAGTTGGAGGTTAGAAAGCGAAATGTTTTATAGAAATGATATTATAGTAAAAAGTAGTATGTACACTACACCAAACAATAATTATTTCAAGCTTCATTAAAATCAAGGAGGGCTGATACTTATGTACTTAGCATATAACTACATATGTATGTGGTTAGTGGGGGAAACCCCGGGGTACCGATGCGGATTAGTGTCTCTTGACTCACTTCTACATCTTCTTCCGTCATAAGGCTCTGGGTATTCTCTGCTGTCCTTCACTTCCGATTTATGCTTTTTATCTATGAAAAGAATTATGGATCTCATCAAATATGCCACCGAGCTTGATGGGCCAGGGCTTGCCAAAGTCAACGTCCAAAGCTTTCAAGGCCGCCGTCTCCTCGAAGAACTTTTCCCAGAAGCCAGCCTGACCAGAATGCAGGAATACAAAATAGTTGTGGGCATGAAACATCTTGCCAACCCCAATATGCATGTTCTCAAGATCCATGATCCAGTCAGTGGGGAGCTGGCGACCTACAGTCGCTGGCAGTTTCCGGCATCATTTGGTCCGAGTCTGGTCACTCTAAGTGAAAAGGCAGCCTTGTGGGCCAAGGACCCCATTCCACATGCACCCAGACCAATGAATGAAGAAGTTTTCAATGCCTTCAAAAAGCTCCTAGAAGATGGTCGCAAGCGATACACCACAGAGAACGATATTAGTAAGTGGCCCCCACATCCATTCCCGACAAGGGGATTTTGCTCAAATGGATCATCAGTCCTCGATCTACTAGCAACCCTACCGGAATATCAAGGGCGAGGTTTTGGTTCTGCTATCTTGAAATGGGGCACAAACAAGGCAGATGCTTCCCAGTCACGCATCTACCTCGAGGGTACGCCCGAAGGTGTCCCCGTCTACCTCAAATACGGATGGAAGATACTAGAGGAGGTGGTGATGGATTATACACCATTTGGTAGTGTTGGGCAAGAGTCCTTTTTCCTGATGATGAGGGATCCAGTTTCACAATAAGGGGTTCAAGGTTCATTTATAAATCTATATGTACTTTGGAGAGATGAATAAATACCGTTAAGGCACATTTACCGGGGATAGGTTTGAAGTACGAACATACTATTTCAGTGCATTTCAGTACATTATGCACAATTCCTTGTCGACCTGTTTAGATTTTTGTTAAAAAATCATATTGCACCCATGCACACACATGTATATATTTAGTTATAACTTTGTAACTAACTAGTTAGTGGATAAATGAACTGCCGGGCACGTCATTCCCCCAGGAATTTCTCACTTCCCCGCTGTTTCCCCTCGGCTCTGTCTCTCATACCTAAATGTGTATACACATGTATATATAACGATAGGTATTCATATTTGACAATGGCTCAGCTCAAATTTGCAATTCTTGACGATTACCAGGGCATTGCACCTGCTTATTTCAATCACCTCGAATCGAGAGTTGATATTTCCAGTTTCCCCGAAACCCTTGACCCTCGCGATCCTACACAACACGATGCTCTTGTCCAACGACTCCTTCCCTTTGATATTATCTTGGCAATGCGCGAACGAACTCCTTTTGCAGCCAAAACAATTGCAGCGCTCCCAAATTTGAAACTTCTTTTGACCACGGGTACCCGCAATCTGGCCCTGGATCTCGAGGCATTTAAACGTTCCAACGTGGCTGTCGCAGGCACCGAGGGCCGCCCACCCGGTGTGAATTCAACAGTTCAGCATACATGGGCTTTGATCTTGGGGCTGGCTCGAAATATAGCACGCGACGATGCAGCTGTCAAACGTGGCGCATGGCAAGGTTCCCTTGGGACCAACTTGTCTGGGAAGACACTGGGCCTGCTTGGCTTGGGAAAACTTGGGTCACAAGTAGGAAATATTGGCGCTCTAGCTTTTGGGATGAAAATTCTCGCATGGTCCACAAACTTGACACAGGAAAAGGCCGACGAGCAAGCGCATGCTCAGGGTCTGCCGGCAGGGACATTTGCCGTGGCTGCGTCCAAAGAGGAATTTTTCGCACATGCCGATATCGTCAGTGTACACAGTGTGCTATCGGATCGAAGCCGTGGAATCATTGGTGCGGCTGAAATAGCCAATATGCGATCATCTGCATTTATCATCAATACTTCACGTGGGCCCTTGATTGAGGAGCGGGCCCTCCTCGAGGCATTGAATGCGGGCCGCATTCGTGGCGCCGCGTTGGATGTCTTTGACCCGGAGCCATTACCTCTTGATAGCCCATGGCGTACTACTCCTTGGGGACAGGATGGACGCAGTGAAGTTCTACTTTCGCCCCACATGGGGTATGGAGAGGAGGAGCTATTGCGGGGGTGGTATCGCGAAACAGCCGAGAATTTGGAGCGCTGGTTAAATGGACAGGAGCTACTACGTAAGCTGAACTGATGGACAGTAGACAATGAACAATAGACATATAAATATAAATACATTGAGTTTGATCTGACGAGAAGAAAAAGAGGGGGAAAAAAAAAAAGTAGCCGCATGCAGATCAGGAACATTCCGAAAGAGTCGGGATTTTCGAAACAAGAATTGTATGGGCTGATGGTTCCAACTTCTTAAATGATTGACTGAGATAGACGTACATAGACTCACATGGATGTACATGGACTGTACATACATTTACCCTAAGCCCCTGAACCTTTACAAAGTGAAGCCGAGAACGTGGTCATGTTATGCATGTGGAGGCTCACCGAATGACGAATGCGTACGATCACCCGGCTAAAAGTTCACGTTCACGAGTCTAAATGTCTAAAATATCTACAGATTGACTCCTTATTTGAGACAATTAATTGTGTTTTAGGCCTGTGCCTCGGTCTTCCGAGGGGAAAGACCTCGGTTGAAAGGAACAATGTGGGATGTTCTCTACATTTCTACATCTCTACTTAAATAGAACCCTAAGTAATTCCCCCTCATTTTCAATTGCCTCAAAGATCTCTCCTATTTTCTTATTCTGATATCCTATTTATCCTCTTATTCTCATATCCTCTTACACCCCCTCCCCTTCCTCACTCCATACCTCCGTCAGTATGGCCCCATCCGCCGATCCCATTCCCGTGACACCCACCTTTGCCAACTACCCTCCTCCGACCCATCCCGAATGTCTGCGTGTTGAACGCAGTACGAAAGCATTCGCAAGCGGGGCTTATTCTCTCGTTGACCTCCCCGCGGGTGCCGTTTTCGCCAAGATCACTACGGCAACTCCTGGAAAGAAAGCCTACACGAGCGTGCAAACCGGCCGCGACACCCACATCGAACTCAACTCCGACCTAGTCTACTGCAACCACTCATGCGCACCATCATTGGTCTTCGACATGGGCCGCATGGAGGTGCGGGTCGTGGACGACCATCCTTTGAAGGCAGGTGATGCGCTCACCTTCTTCTACCCCAGCACCGAGTGGGATATGGACCAGGCATTCCAATGTACCTGCGGGGCAGGTGACGGGATCTGCAGAGGCTGGATCTCCGGGGCCAAGACCATGTCCGCCGAAGAGTTGGATGGGTATTGGCTTAATGGCCACATCACCGAATTGCTGAATGAGAGCAAGGCCAATTGAGGGGCTGGCACCCCAAACAATTGAAGGACTTGCGCTTATAGAGGATCGAGAAAAGCAAAAAAAAAAAAAAAAAAAAAAAAGATATCCCAAATATCCGATAGAAAATATATACTAGCGTTGAGACGACTAAAATACGCAGACGCTCTATACTTGTCATAAATCTCAACTACCAGCTCCCGCAATGATTGCCAATTGAATCATCCTACGTCGGTCAATTTCCTTCTTCAACATCATCAAACACGTCGCAACAATAACCGCCTCGTCTAGCTCCAGGGACTGTAAGGCAACTTCATCAATCTGCAATTCACCTCCATTACCCGCAGAAGATCGCGACGTGCCAGGTGTCCGAGAATCCTCTCCGCGAACTAGTTGTGGAATCCTGGGGCCCGGAGTCTCTTTACTCTTCCCCTTTACTTCCCCCACTGCACGAAAAACAATCAAATTGACTTTCTGCCCATCCGCCCTTTTTTCCTTGGCATATTCCCATTCAAACTGTTTACGTTTACCTCCAGGCATACCGAAGCGCATTGTGCGGGATGTCCATTTCCCCTCAACAATCACCTCCTCGGGAATGTCACTGGAAGGTTGAAGCCGGTACACAACGGGGTCCCGGTTCGGACCGAAGAAGTATTCGGTTCGGATAAGACTTCCGCGCTTTGGGTGGGACAGGGTCGCATTACCTGAGCAAAGCTTGTCCCGCGTAGAGATGTAGGCCTCGGTGCCGTCTGGATTGTAGATAAATATCTCGGTTTGGCGAGATGGCAGTGGGAGACGAAAAGCGCGAATCCCTTGCGCATTGATGGTTAAAATGCGTGAGGGGCAGAAAGAGGATGGACTCTCAATGAGTGTGCTTAGGGTACTGCTGGATCTCACAGACAAGTCCGAGGAGTGAACCTCCATTCCCTTTGTCTTGGGATCGAGTGTGGTTGTGGTGGTCATTATGGATGTGATTTGGCTCTGGGTGACGACTTGATCTCAGAGGCAGTCTATGTATGTTTGTTTGTAGATATATATATTGTTCTCCAATACGAGACTTGCCTATTTGGGCAACGAACTCTATTCCACTTCATTGGTGCTCGTGTTTCCATGACGTCCATCACCCGAACCACCTCCTTCGCCCATTCGCTACACATGTACTTTTCATGCTGACTATATCTGGGCTTGCTGAGCCTCACTCGTATAGCCCGTGTATAGCCCGCATCTCATCACACTGGGCAGTGAAACAATATCCCCGAACAGCCTCCAAAATTGGTTCCCAATGATCGGCCCATGCATCAACGGGTGCCTAAAGCAAAAAGATACTGTTTTACAGATCTCGATGGCTCTGGCAAGATGCATCTATTTCCGTGGAAGAGCCTTTCTATATAAAAAAAAAAAAAAAAAGCGCCCAAGTCACGGTCACGAATTTAGGGGACTACAGGCATTTCAATTCTCAATTCCCGATCTATTGATGCCGACCCGTTTCCTAATGGGGTATTCTAGACAATTCGGGTCCACTTGGGTGAAGTCACAGCCCCTTTCGGCAAACCTTGGAAGATCTGCACATGATCGTGTGTTCTATTATTTTGGTTTCCGCTCTTGAATCACTAAGAGCCAGATCATTCCATCGAACTGGGCTTGTGGTTTAGTGGTATAATACTCCCTTAGCATGGGAGTGGTCCGGGGTTCGATTCCCCGCGAGTCCATTTTTTTTGCTTTTACTTTGCTATGTTCCTCTAATTGCATTGTATTTGTTGTGGTTCTTTCTTTTTTTTGGTCCAATTCATGGCCATCATCTATTATGTGGACATGATCTATACATCGTGAGGTTCAAGTCTAATATCTATATCTATCAGCTGACACCAATGCCGCTATATCTACATTCCAATCACACTCGAGCCCAGATCTCTTGAGCAGTCAGCAGCGTACTCAACACCATGGTCGATCCAACCACCACATCACCCGTGGGCATCCAGCCCAGAAGCTCCAGCGGGATGAGCAAATCACAGCCATCCACCACGATCTGCTTGACCCGAGCAGAAGCCGCAGTCGGTTTGACCGAGGTAGCCTTCTCAGAGACGGTTTTCCGGCTCTTTCTCTTGCCATTCTTCTTAGAAGATTGCTCCGCGGGACCGACAAGCAGCGCCCAAATAGCCCCGGCAACGGAGAAAGAGAGTGCATAGAACCAGAAGGTATTGGCCTGGTCCATTACACGGTCATTCCAAGGTACTGCGTAGACCCCCATTGCATGAAGCTAGCTCTTCATCAGTTCCTACTCGCCGAAAGAAAAAGAAAAGAAAAAAGAAGGAAAAATTAAATAACATACCGTGGTCAAGTCTTCCAGGACAAAGTAAAGGCCAAAGCAAGTGCATTTAGCCAATTCAAGCATCCCAGCTACAGAACTGAATCCATCCTTGCCCAACAACGCAAACATGCCCTGGAAGGAATCAATGAACCCGAAGAAGCGGAAATATCTCCGCGCTACACAACAGACCCGAGTATCAGCATACATGGCAATCGGAGCCGGGGGTAGGTATAGCTGTCCCTCGGGCATGGAATTCAACTTACTCAATGCCAATTGTAACTTGACCGTGGTTAATTGCACGGCCAGGGCACTGCTCACAGTGAGTGCAGCGATGACCTGGGACACGCATTGGATTAGACGAAGGGTCTTTTCAAGGCCAGCGCCTGATTTGACAAAGCGAGAAAATTGTTGGATCATCGTCACAGCACTGCTATACGGCTCTGGAAACAATATAAAACAATATACTCTCGATGGGATAGGGGTGGAACTCGTGTGTCAAAAGGCTTGGAAGCGGGCTAGTCTCATCTCCACTAGTAGTGTTGCTTATTCAGCCTGTGCATGTTCGAAAACCCAATATATCCATAGATGTGAATTAATTTATATGCAATCGGATATTAATTATTGTTTGGAGTGGTTTATTCGGGGTACTCTGGGCATGATTGAAGTGGCTAGTAGTTGTGTGTTAGAGAGAGAGAGATATATATATAGGGTGACTAGTCTAGCACTACAGAAAAATAAACAAATTACACTTGATCATCTTCACAAACCATGAAAATAAAACAACTGATACGCAAATGAGACAATGCCTTTAAAATAGTAGGGATATATCAGTCCATCAGCTATTCACCGCAAGTAGGTTCTATCAGACCACTCGACAATATTTCCAAGTCTGCTCTACCGCCCTTTGCCGCCTGAGATATCCTGACCCAGACGGTACCCACCAACCTTCTCCCACTCTACTTTCTGTCGCGTGATGGGAAGCTGCCTCCGGAGACCCTTGAACACGCCCTCGGATGTTTGGACAAAGGCCCGGTTCAGCGCTTCCTGGTAATCGCGCTCCGCCGCAGCAATCCGCGAGATAATCGACTCGGCTGATACGGAAGGGATGGAAATGTTAATAGGCTTAGTAGTGTTAAGGGCTACGTTGCCATCTTCGTAGTAGTGCACATCAACGTGGATGTTGCCAGTCAGGGCAGAGGACGAGGAGGAGACGGGAAGTTGGTAAATTGCGCGGAAACGACCATTCCTATCGTGACAGAACGGACAATCCTCCCCAGATGGGGAAGCGCCCACAGCGATTAGTTTCCACCTAAGGTTTTATTCGTAGAGATTGTAATCACTCACCAGAAGTTGTTGGGGGAGTAGCGGTTGGCGACCAAGACGATGGCGATGGCAGAGTCATTCTCAATGGGGTAGACACCATATGAGCAGTTGGGGTAGTGTTCACGGGCATGAACACCGAAAGACTTGAGCAGCGATTTGCTAAACACGGTAAGCGGAATACCACCAAGACTTGAACCAAGATAGTTTCTTACATCAAGTCCGCATGCTCTGACTCCAATGCGTATGATTGTGCCGCAGATGCAGTCTATTGCCATGGTGCAAGCCCGTAAGCCTTCAATGTACCACCCCAGTTGGTCAGATGAAACCTACCTGTGTTGTGTGATCGACCTCGAACGAGGTTTGGCTCTCCGGGTCGAAGTAGCGGTTGTCTTCGAGCTCATTAAATCCACTAATGATGACCTTCCCAGCAAAAGTGTTAGTTCATCACCGACAGAGACCACTCCCGGCGAAACCCACCTCCTGACTTGATCCCGGCAATTTTACCGTTGCGAGCTGCGTCTCGTTATACCGTTTGAATGCAGGTAGAAGGGAGGGAACGATATCCTCCCCATCAGAGGTCAAGGATTGCACATCTAATCAAGTAGTACGGATCAGCATCACCGTTCGTGTAGGAGTCGATGTTGCGGGGTTCGGGACAGGCAGCGTAGCGCTAAGAGGGGGACTTACCGGCGACAACATCTGCAAGCTGAAGAAAAAAAATATCAGCGGTCATCCTTTAAGCTTCAGGAGAACGATGACTAGGAGAGTGGGGGGCTCCTGGATCATTGTTGACGTGCATACCTCTCCTGGCGGGGCACCCTCGATGAAGGCAGAGGCCAGTTCAACAGTGGAAGCCATGGTGTAGAAAAAAATGCGATCGACGGATTCAATATGGAGTAAGAGGTTCAAGCGCAATTGAAACCCTCGAGAGAATTGTCGGAGGTAGCTTGGAAGTGGTGATTGTCTGCGGAGAGAAGGAGAGCTGTCGGAGGCGGAGAGCGATAAGCACGTGGCTTGGTATAGTTAGGTACCTACATCCAGGCCTACGACGTACATGTTTACAATATTAACTATGTAGTTAGATAGTTAACTAGTTATGTAGACTTCAACATCTTGTAAAGTAAAATCATTCACGAAATAACTATGAGGTATCTGAAAAATCGCTAGAATAACAAATGTGTATCTTGCTTGATATCCATATCCAAATAACACCATGCTCTTAAAAACCCTCACAGAAAAAAAAAAAAAAAGAAAAAGATAACCCTTAACCCCGAGAGCGCATGTCGAAGAATATCAAATTCTGTTCGCAAATTCAAAAAGCTGCTTTCAATCAATGCTCATGTTCATAAAGCCATCACTGGCCTCGGTCATCCCTTGCAGGCCTACACGTTTCACACCTCCAGCATGAGAAATCGTTCGATTGCTCGATTCAGAACTTAGTCGTTCCGAGAACGGTGCACCGAGGCCCGGCTTTGGCGGCGGACCCCAGATGTTTGGGCCCGTATCATTGACATTGTGGGAGTGAGTCATTACTGGACTGCTTTGAACACTCACACTGGGCGAGACAGCCCGGCGCTTGAAAAGATTAGGATCGAAGTCATCGTCACGACGCCGCTTGCGACAGATCTCCCCAATAGTTGGCATGCCCGGGGCATGTGGTGTGGATGAGCGGGAACGCTGCTTGAAGGACTCAGCGGTAACAGAGCCGATGGTCGTGGACGGAGTCATATCCATAAACATATCCTCATCTGCTATAGATGAGGGACCTCCCTGACGAGCTGGGGGTGGGGTTCGGTATCGTCCATCAAACGAGTTCCAAAACTCGACGCCGCCCGAGTTGCGACTGGCTTGCTTGCCAAAAGTATCCGTAGGTGCTGTGTCTATTCCCGCTTTGACTACGGAGTCTTCTGCCGCTGTCGAATCAAACGAGGTCGAGGGCTGCAATGATGGGAACTCGCCGAGTGCAGGGGTTGATTCAGGTTCAGTGTCGCGGACCTGCCGGACCACTTCTGCCTCTCGTTTCATATCGCTATCAACTGGAGCACCTTCCTCCATCAAAGCGGCGCGAATGCGCGCAAAGGTCTTGGTTTTAGGCTGTCACTGGAGTTTAGCTTCTAGATCACTGAATGAGAGAAAAAAAAACTTACGAGTAAGCTCCCACGCCGGGTCACCGCGCGACGAATTACACCCAGTGGGCCGCCACCCTCCGGGTGTGGAGTGGGAATTGGGCTCCCGCTCCGCGTTGTACGACTCTCGCTATCGTCGCTCATGTCGGACAAGCGAAGGTCGCGTGTGCCAAGACTGAGACTCTCTCTGCGTGAATGCGCAGGCTGCCCCGGGGCAAAATAACCATTGGAGTGCTCGACACTCTTCATGATTGGCGGAGAGTGAGGGGTGGGACTAGGCTTTGTACTGTTTCCACTTGCGCTGCTGGAGCTGTGACGACTACGGCCTTTGCGAAAGCGCGCGCGTTGGAAACTCATCAAGCTGGCAGCGGCTTGTGAATATCCTCCCATCCACTCGTTGCCTGGGCTCTGCAGATTGCTGGCAAATGGACTTGGCGCACTTATGCGAGTCGGCTGTGGCGTATTGATCATAATATCGTCGCGATCAGCCATCGACTCATCGTCCTCCTCGCTGCTACTCGTGTCCGACTCCATCATATTCACACTCGACATGGAACTCGAAATTGTTGTACGGTCCGCCGGGCCCGATGTTGAAAAAGGTGGGACGGATGTCGCTCCAAGTGATCCGCGTCGCTGGGGTATCGCCATGCCTCGCCCTCCAACGGTGGGAGAGGAATCCGGGGAAGACTCGGCTAGGGTGGAATGGTGGAGGTTCGTACATGCGCGTGAGAAGTCGAGTCCCCGAGACCGTCGAGGGAGAACAGATCCCGGAGATCCGTAGATATGTGATGGGTCAAGTTTAGGAGAAAGAGGGGCGCGGTTTGTAAGTGATGGCGAAACGGCGGGTTTGGAAGGCAAGTTTAGCGAGAGGCTCGAATGCGACGCACTTGATCTTCGAGGTGTTGCGGGGAGAGCGGGTATTGCATTGTCGTCTTTGGTTGGTGCTCGACTGAGATCACCGGTCGATGGTTGAGTGGAGGATGTAGGCCTGGACGTATCGGATAATGAACGCGACTTGGGAGAGCGCGACGGTTCGAGTTGGTGTTCCAGGTCTGTTTGGTGAGGCTGAGCTAATTGTTGACTGAGTTTGCTTTCAAACCCGTGGACTGATGTACTGCGCCCTGGCGCTGAGGGTCGCACCTGCGCCATATTCAAGTCACTTTGATCTGATTTATCGATTCAGAGCAAGGGCGTACAGTGAAGGGCATAATTCGTCGGCACCGAGGCAGGAGAATGGGGTCAACACTACAATTGACGCCCGTAGAGCACATGCGCCGTGGTATATAACAAGATATACACAGTATTCGGGTCGATGTGAGGTCTACATTGCATTGCAGGTCGCTGGCTCTGGGCGGTTAACGAGATCAGATGACAACGCGCTAACCGGATCCGGACACAACCCCTCACATTGTATAGCGTGGGTGATCTATGTATGTATATGGAGTATATGCATGCATAATGTTGTACGATTGTATACTTTTCATGTACATAGGAATATACAATTGAACTGAAAATATAGAATTGATCGACCATTCAATGTTTCTCTAATATACAGAGAACCAACATGCTCATTCTTCCTCGCTCATGCCCTCACGCTAGACTCATGGCATTGCTGATTGGCACCACATGCCATTCCCAATCATTGTATCCATTCTGCAGAGCGGTTCCCTTGATCAAATCCGAATCGCGTGTCTGCCATAACTTAGTGATCACTGCCCTTGTTCTAGCAATGTTCGAGATCGTTGAATCGGCCAATGTTGCCAGGGACCGTAGCACAATCGCTCGTCCCGACCCCGGTTCCATTTCTGATTCCGGGTAGAGCTCATCATCGGATGGGTCAAGCTCCACGGCCGCCACAAAGACTGGCCATGTCACATTAACCAGCGATTTACGGTCAAGAAGGTCTGATACGACTCGCAGGATCTGGCGCACATAACTCTTCACCAAAGGTGTGGTAGGCCCAGCCCCATACAAAGAACAGTGTAAGTAAAGCATCGCAGCCAATCGCTTAGAATCTGCAACCAGACCAAGCATTTCTTCGTCACCCTCTCCCACCTCTTGGACCAAGTTTTCTAGCTGGCGCTCAAGGGACGCCGCACGTAGTGAGAACGATGCCTTGTCCGCCTCGGACGTATTTTGTCTCCTGGTTCGACTCATGTCTGTGATTTTGGCCAGGATCGAGACCAATTCAGGACTACATCCCATCCAAAGATCGATGTTGCGTTCGTCCGGTTTCCAGTAGTCAGTACCAAACAAGACCTCTTTGGCACAAGCTGTTCGGCCCATGACATCCTGGAAGGCAAAGAATTGCTCTGCGAAAGTTGTCACGGGATCCAATGGGGCTGTTGACTGCGATAATGCTATTTGCTGTTTTCTTCGCAGTCGGATTAAATCATTGGCCCCTTTCAGATGGATGATCCATTGTTGATCACACTTGTCCACTATCTCGTATAAACATAGCATGATCATGATAACCAGTACTTCAGGATCCATGGAACATGTCAAAGTTCCCTCCGATGAAAGCCGTCGACGAAGATCTCTCAAAGCCTCTGATTTGAAACGCAGACCGATTGCACCATAGCTTGGATTGCGCCTTGACCAGTGGCATGCTCCCAATGCTTGAATGGCTTTAAAAAGCGTAGGAGAAGCCGATAGACAGAATGGAAGAATCACAGAGGCAAACGGCGAAGAAAATGTGGAGCTGGCGGTTGTGCGAGGGCACACTTGTTGAAGATAGTAATCAAATAGCTCTCCGTGCCCAGATTTAGACAACTCTGGAAACAGCGCCAGAGACGGCGGCAGGCCTGGGTTGAAATTTAGGTTAAGCCCTCTGAGATGTGGGAAGTGTTGTAACCAGGACCATATTTGGTGGTTTCTGGAAAATGGTGAGTCGGAGCTTTGAGCAACCGAAATCAGTGCATTCAACTCGTCGAAGTCCACGTTCACTTCATCTGGGTGTTCGAATGTCGACAGACCGCTGTTTATGAAGCCCCAAGGGTTAATAGTTGGCACTGGGCACCACTCATGCATTTCCGAGGAAACGGAGCCGGGTGTAGGTTGAATTGCGCCGGTTTTGTTCCAAATACCTGCGCGCCCAAATGCCACTCCACGACTGATAAATTCCGATTCCCATTTTAAAACCAGATTCTTTGTGCATGGCAATCCTTTCTCCCGGCAGCGTGTGCAAAGAGGCTTTTTGGTGTCACAGCGAACACGACTTGCCCGGCATTCTTTGCAGCCATCGCGAGATCGGGTTTTCACCGGACCTGTGCGGTCTGCAGCTTTTCTTCGTGGCATACGAGTTACCAATTGTGGATATATAAACTTCACATGGTATGAATCAGCCTGCCAGGGTCAAAGACCGTAGGTTGAGATAGTTGGAAGTTGGGAAAGAAAATTGGAGGTCGCGAGTGGCGGATAAGGGTCTTTGCTCACCCCGCCAAATCTCCATTCTCCAGGTTTAATTTTACTACTGTCCAATGTGCTATGTACTAACTGTACTAACTAACTATGATACACAGGCCAAACAGAATGAATCGAATTGAAGTATTGTACTTAAGCATTCTTTTTCCACTCTGCTGCACAATCGCCAAATGTCACAAATTCAACCTCATCTCCCTGCTGTTTGAGCCACGAAATCATTCGGTCAATCATCCCAACCACATGGGCCATTCCACTAGTATCGGGGTGCAGGATCAAAGGGAAAACAAAGCCCTGCTCAGAATCTTCCTCAATTGATTTTTCGAGAGCTTCACTGTAGAGGAATGCAAATCGCGACTTCCAATTCTGCTCAATGGTGGTCGGACTGACAAATCCATGCGAGTTGGGGGCCGCTGGCAGATAACCAAGAGGTGTCATGTCCTCCATATACCAGTTGCATGGAATTTCAACCAAAGTCTGGGGAGTCCTGACTCCAGGGACAGGGAGGGGCTTCATCCAAGTAGAAGCAGACTGGGAAGGCGAAAAGTCAATGGCCTTGGGCTCTGACACTCGAGGGATAAAGTACAACGACGAATCATGATGCGTGAGAGAGGAATCTGGGCTGAAGTTAGTTTCCTAATAGTGAGATATGATACAAGTAAATCAACATACCGTATAAAAATCCAAACTCTTCAAGAACTTGAATGGTGTGTGTTCGCAATTGATATAATGGCGCTCTCCATCCTCGGGGTTTCTTTCCAGTTAAGTCGGTTGCCAACTGCACACATTTGGCGATGACTTCTCTCTCCTGCGATTCAGTCATTTGACTGGAGCCCTCGTGCGCATATCCGTGACAGCCGATTTCGGCACCCGACTGAACAATTGCTTTGGTTTCTTCTGGAAATGATTCCATTGAATGACCGGGCACAAACCAGGTCACCGAGGAACTAATTCCATGTTTCTTAAACAGGCGCAATAAGCGTGGGACTCCGACTTGAGCTGCAAAAAAGCCACTGCTGTAATCGGCCAGATTGGTTGTAGCCGAAGCACCAGTGCCTAGAAAGCCCGAGACGGCATCGAAATCCACGGAGAGTAGAATTTGGACTTTGGGTTTCCGGGAAGCCATCTGTAATGGATTTAAGTGTAAAATTATGATCGGAGTGAAAAGGCCAAGGGGTTATCAATTTATAAGAAATTCAAGATGAAGTTCAAGTACCCGAGAGGGGGAAAAGACCCGACACTTGGATCCACCCCCGCCATAGAGAATTCAACTTTCACAAACAATATGGACGCATTATTATATATATATATATATGGGAATTAATATGGGGATGAGCATAGACCAGATCATAGATCAGATCATAGAAGTACTACATGTATAGTGGATGGTACTAGGTCCAGCGGTTTTGGTCAAGGGTTTTTTGGTAGAGATGGACCTTCACGACATAGGGCTTGGAGGTACTGTGTATTCTTAGACAGGTAAGAAATCCTTTGACATTAGTTCTATGCTATATGTCTCATTCCAAACCGTTCCCAACATACTGAAGCAAGCCGACATGACCCTCAATCGCCCCGTTTTATTTCTTACAGAATGGGGGAAGTCGACGAATTGACCAGCTATATACTCTCCTCACAGCGAAGCAACCGCTTGATAGATAGCCTAGGACTACCACCATTGAAATTTGACTCCATATTACGACTCAAAGGTTGCATCACGGCTTGACGCCGGTTTGACTGAAGTGGAGAAAGAGCTTCCGCTTCCCATACTACTCAATTCCAGTCAGATGATGCCGCCTGGGCTATTGACCTTACTTCACCTTCGGTAAGCACAAAACCTCCCCGGGGCTGTCAAGTTAGTGATCAATCTTTTAAAAATAATTTCTAAATAGGCTCTCCTATGCCCGTATTCTCCTCTTTCGGCCACTGCTCGCTCATCTCTGTCTATCATGTCCCTAAGCGGCCTTGTCAATGGAAGCCTAGAAGATCATGTGTTACAACAGCATACCACTTTCTGTATAGAAAGTGCTCAAAACATGATCACGCTTGTATATGACAGCACTATCCTAGACCAGTATGGCATTGGCATCCTACCTTGGTGGATTCGCATTTTCTACATCTATATCGCAATTCAACACTTGATCGCTTCAATTCTGCGCCCGGTCATTTTTACCTCTACAGTTCCAGAAGTTTGGGGCTCCGCTATGGCTGCCTCGGAGCATATGAGCCTCTGAGCCAATCGGTCTGTCGACGTATGGCAATTTTTCGGTCTATGTGGCAAAAGGTCATAGATATCAACTATCAAGAGACCTTAGGGGAATGATCTCCCCCTAAGTAGAAACTCAGATTTTCCAGGATATTTTTGAGCACTTGGGCTTTGATATCGATCTACCTACCTTTAACTTCGATAATGCGGCTTGGCTGGGAAACGTGGATTGGAATATATAAAATTATTTACCAATGTCAACGATGACTCTGATGTTTCAACTTTGTTATTGTCATTGCAATTCACATTTTAATGGGAGAACAACATGCATGTTCGCTTGACTCGGCTTCAACAAGTGTACTCTTGTTATCCTCTTGACTGGACACAGCCACATCTAAACTTGGGTTTCCCGTAAAGAAGTTGACCGGTTTGAGACCAACGACCATCTTTTCAGATGGCATCACTGGCCAATCTTCGATTCTTGGATTGTGCGTCGATCCAAATGTGTGCCAAATAACTATGTCTTCGTTTCGTACTGTTGACTTGGAGTCCGGGTCATTTCTCCGCTGAGTAATGGCTGAGTTGATTCCTTCGCCGCCGAGGGACTGCATAGTATGATTCCCGGCTGGAAAAAGCTCGCCATCGTTATAACGAGTGATCCAGATTGCGTGGCTTCCATATTCGGATCGCTTTGCATGGAAAGACTCTGGATGGGCCAGTAGCAGTTGGCTGTAGCATGGAACGAGTTTGAATCCCACCGGCGTACCAGTAATAGGATTGACTTTTGCCTCATTGATGATCTTGAAGGTGCGATTCTTGTTAAAATCAAGATCTAATCCCCCTCATCTGTCACAATCTTTGAATGTGTTGTGTATCCGACCCCGAACGGATTTCGAACGGATGGGTCGTTAAAGGGCAAAGGGTTGGACTCTTCAACCTGCAACGAGTTCACAACACCATCTATCGCAGGATCAATACGAAGAGAGAACAAGTGTTGGTGATATGGCGCAAGGACACCGGGGGCAACAATAGTACCATATCCGACTTCGTCGTCAATGTTGATAGGACTGGTAGACAAGATCCCAGTGGCCCGAACTTCATAATGAATCGAAGCATCTTGGCCAAAGTGGAAAGCAAAGATATACTCATAGTTGCTGACTGTGATGATTGTCTGCAAGACCAGAATACGTGATCTCACGACCGCCGCATTTCCTGTACGGAAGTTTGTGTGCTTCCATAAAATCCCATCGTCTTGCTCATGACAGCAGATTACATTGGGCAATTTTAATGGTTCTCCCGAGGAAGTGCTGTGCCATCCATCAAAATATTTGATCAGTCCCAGGCAATCACATCCAAGGGATAAATTGTTCGCATTGATCCCAGCACCATCGTTCCCAAGATCGAATGCAGCTTTGCGTGGAAACGGAGCACGAGGATCACCATAAGGCACGAACATCTCTGCCAGAGACAGTCGGTAGAAGAGACTCCGACCGTCATAACGGATGTCGTGTAATGTGAGGCCCTCACGATAATTGAAACCCACGCGCATAGTCCATTTCTCCCAAGCCAACAGGTTTCCATGTGACTTGAAGGAAACCCCTTCCGGCTGGACAACCTGGTAGGGCTTGGTGGTTGTGCGCGGTGGTGGTCGTAGACTGGGATGATATTCACTCATAGTAGTGGAATGGATCTTGCAAGGGTCATATGGCCGTGCTTCTTCATGAACCCTTTCACTCTCGGACGAAGGTAAATGATAGACCTTGGTCACCTTGAGATGCTCAGAGACCTCCGCACACAAATCAAGTGGATATGCGTAATAGTTGGCGTCGGGGTTGTCCACCAATCGCATATAAAACCAACACTATGCATCTTATGTTAACTAGGATTAAGACAGTACAAATATCGTCGGACAGGTACTGACCATGCTAGTTCGCTCCGACATATCGTTCATGCCATCAGTGGCATAAGCCCACGGTTCGACAACGACCGAGGCCCCTTCAGGTAGCCTCAACTTTCCGATTTCATTTTGTACCCTTTCATCTGCCATACAAGCATTTTCAACATCTCTCATATAAGCGGAGTCAATAAAAGAGTGTTTTCCCACTAGGATCTCTCGTTGAACGACAGCACTCTGGTCCAGATCCACTAGGAACTCGGTCAATTCGTTTGGCCCTGAATCACCACGAACGATGACTTGGATATGAGCGATACGAGCAGGTCGGGAGATTTGGGGCTGCGCAAGATGTTCTCTTTCCAAGAATGCTATCATCTCTTGCTTTGGTGGTTCTTTCAAGGTGATGACGCGAAAGTTGAAGCTTTTCCCATGGAGTAGCTCTTGGACAACTCTTGCTGCCTAACATATGGTGAATAGAATATTTCGCTTTTGCTTGATATAGAGGACATACCTTGGTAATTTCCTGGGGCCCAAGAGGATCAAAGGGGTGTGTATCAGACATAATGGTGATATTTGGGAAGTAAAGTAAATGGGAATAATGAAGACAGAGTGATTAATCTGAACTCTTATAATTCAATAGGTAAGATACATAAGCCGTGTCATACACAAGCCAAGATAACAGGGAGATGCACGATATTCGCTAAGATATAAGAATAACCGAAAAGATTGGCTGGTCAATCGCTAAGGTAAAGAATAGCCGGCGGACCGGATATCTTCGACTCCAAAGGTTAGAACGGAAATGTTTTGGTCCACAGGTATGATTTTAATCCAATCTTTGAATATGATCATCTGGTTATGTAGTATTGAGCATGAAGACTCGAAGTATATGCTCTAGGCTTGTGTACTACTCGATAATGGACCGACTAACTAGTGGTATTATAAACAGGACCGAAAGAAACAAGAACGATATTATTTGCAATTAATACACAATAGAATCATTTCTAACTATACACATGTAGTCACATAACTAGTTTAACAAGTATGTATGTACTAAGTGGGATGTGGATTTCATCCCCGTTATCTCCCTCTTGCCCCGCCTCTAACTCCTTTCTCCCCTCCAAATTGTCCACTGAAGTCCACTGGGGTATATTCAGAGCAAATATGACTTCACCTCGCACCGTTCTGGTCTTTCAGCATGATGCCAGTCTGCACATTCTTGAAACCACAGTGGTGGCCATTATCCCTTTCAATGACCTCGAAGAATCCAGTCGTGTGCTCTTCAAAGATGCCAGCGAGGAACACCATGTCATTGTCACCGAGAAAACTATTTTCCATCCCCAAGGTGGCGGCCAGCCTTCCGACACGGGTGTGTTAAAAGGCCCATCCGGCACTTTCACAGTCACTGCTGTTCGCACAGATGCCAATGGACAGGTGCTTCACCTCGGTCTCTTCGAGAACTCATCATCCGCTTTCAAAAAGGGCGAGAGTGTCCAGCAGGCAATTGATGTGGAAAAGCGTCTACTATATTCACGATTGCACACTGCCGGCCATGTACTAGGCGCATCAGTTCGACATCTTTTGGAGAAAGAGATTGAGAACTTTGATGAATTGAAGGCCTCACACTTCCCTGACTCGGCAGCATGCGAGTTTCAAGGTTCAATCGACGGGAAATGGAAGGATTCTATCCAGAACAAGCTAGATACATATGTCGCTGCCAAAATGCCTGTTCAAATTGAATGGTGGGATGAAGAGGATTTCCGCTCGCGTGGGCTGGAGCGATTGATACCTGATCGCAGTTTGGTGCCTGCAGGCGAAAAGTCCCGTGTTGTTAACATCGTCGGAGCTGAAGTGTACCCCTGCGGAGGTACGCATGTTGATACGACCGATTTGTGTGGACCTGTGACGGTGAAGAAGATTTCAAGAAAACAAGGAAACTCGCGAGTTAGCTATGCGGTGAAATGATGTTGATTCGGTTGTGCCATGTCCACATTTTGGGAATACCATATAGATAGGGAGTGAGTAGAGCTTGACACAATAGACCAAAATAATGGAGATTTTTATGAGACCTTATTCCGAGTTTCTTTCTACCTCGGCAATGTGATACAGAAAAGTTCTACAATACGTGAGAGCAATGGGAATATGCCAAGACTACCATTTTGTTCCCTTTCAGATGTCTTCAAGACAAGGGTCCAACAGCAAAAGGCCTCTAACAGTGCGAGTAAATACCTCAGGGCAAAAAGGAAATGAGATGATGTCAAAAGTAAGCGCTAGGTTCATCGAGATGGCTCTATGTCTTGAAGCTGATAGTTTCCCTCCGAGGGACTACCGCGTGAAATGAAGGGCTGCGCAAGTGCCTCCTCATCACCCAATTTAGCAAATCCATCGGGTCCAGCAATATCAGCTTTGTCGTAGGGAACGTCGCACACGACTGACCGTAGCGGTGGATAGTAGCGGCGGTATGAGAACCAAGCTATCAGCATGCCCAAAAGTCCTCCACATGTTACATCATATACATCATGTCGATAATCGGCTAGACGGGAGAGGGCGACCATCAAAGCACATAGTAATGGGAAAAATGCAAGTAAGCAGCGTCCAAGATCCGTTCGAGGACGGAAGACATGCATTTGACCACACAAGAAGCTATATGGTCATTGTCAGTTCGAGTGCCCCAGCGTTGTGCGTTTGAAGAACCACTTACAGATATAGATAGCCCAGACCACCAAAAGAGAAGCTGCTATGTCCACTAGGGAAGCTCCTCCATCCCTCTTGTAGAATGTGCTGGTTGGGCTCTGTACAGACAGTCCATGCGACCAGCGCATTGTTCGATGTACCCCGGGAGGGTTTGCAGCGCGATAACAAGTCTGGTCGTGGTCTCCCCGCCGCATTTTTTATTATGTCCGTCAGGAACGAGGTCAACATTAAAGCCACGAATAGCCCGAGTACTGTCACTTGCGTCTTTTGCACACCGGCGCGAAACATTGCGGACCAAGCGAGAATAACCAGGAAAGGAATCAGACCAGCGAATATGACCGACCACACTATTACTCCCCGTTAGAATCAAGGGAGATAGACTGTATTATTGGCAATTGACTTACAAACAGGAACTCGTTCATGGACGGCGAACGGGTACTGAATAGCCTTGTTATCCAGCGAAAACATGCGGTGGAACGGATTCACGAATAATTGAATCTATTGATGCGTTAAAATAAAAAAACTCCCCCATGTGTATGTATCGAAAATTTAAATCATTGAGGACTTACTAGTACCCATCCTGCCACTAGAAATCCCAATGCGATGTAGTCGGCGGCATAGGTGCGTTGCGCAAAGCGAGCTGCAGCACCAGCGAGTCCAACGCGTTGTAGAATCGGGGTTGACCCGTTCCCCGAACCATTGTGAGGCATCCTGCACAACTTCCGAGGACTTCAGAAAGATCTTTAGATCTTCACTGGGAGCATGTTGAAATTGAAAAAAAGGTCAAGTTGACATTCGACACATTGCGGAAGCACAGACCACGTCACCGCCTCTCTCCGCTCTGTCTTTCGCAAACCAAGAGGAACTTCCACTCTGCTCACTTGACTCGCTTTTCTCTCCTTTCACACATTCAGTACCTTCTTGCTGATCGATATGGCCGACGAGAGCCAACAACGAGCCGTGAACACCGCATTTGCGCCCCCGCCCCCCTTATGGAAACACTTTACGCGCGAGAATATCGACAAGGTGGAGCAGATCAAGGCCGAAGCTTCCAAGAAGGAGGATGGACGGTCAAATAAGAACAAGCAATGGTCAGCAGCTGAATTGCGCGCTCTAGAGCTCCCCTCAGAGCTCCGGTACTTGGTGCCGCCCGATATCCCTAAAGGCCAATATAGTGTCTTTGGCGAATTGCAAACCGTTCGTCCACCTACGCCTAAACTCCGTCCCTAACAATACTAACTCTGAAATAGATGTCTACAACCTTGCCATCATTACAGGAACAGGGAATCGAACAGCTCTACCCAGAACCCCCCGCAGCCGGTACCGAACAGAACTCGCAGCCCTCCCCCCCCTCTCAACCACGCATACTACCTTCTCAAGATCAGCAAGTCCCTGCTCCTTAATTTCCTAGAGTTTACCGGTATCTTGTCGGTTTCGCCGGAACAATTCGAATCGAAGGTCGAAGATCTGCGCAACTTGTTCATCAATGCGCACCACCTTCTCAACCTCTACCGTCCCCACCAAGCCCGCGAATCACTCATCATGATGATGGAAGAACAGCTCAATCACAGCCGAGAGGAAATGAGACAAATGGATAAAGTCAAAGAGGAGGTTGAGAGTCTACTAGAGCAGTTGCAAGCGGAGGGCAGTCGCGTGAGTGCGACTGGGTCAGAAGACGATACTGACCAGGCCAAAGCGCTTAAAGAGAAGGCTGATGAACACTCTCGGTTGATCTGGGATCTACTGGACAAAGAGAATTGAATCCAACAAACGGCCTGGCTTTTCTGAATCTGAACAGTATTGCCTTCTCCGAGTCAAATGACTGGCCTTTTCCTGCGCTGTGTTCCAACTGTGACACTGGTTTCAAAGGTCAAATTCGTCCTTGAATACCCCAACGCGGAAGAATCTCAAACCGAGGATTCATCAACATTCAACATCCTACAATATGTCCCTCGGGTGCTCTATCCCAGACGCCTCATGGGCACGCAAGCTCTCACTGGGCTGCTAGATATGATGCCCTAATGTGTCGATTGAATCATCGCGCATTTTGCATCATCCCCAAGCAGATCTTGGACCGCACCAATATCTGGAGGACATTCTCCGATGTACCAACGAGCTGCTACCACCAACCGCACCTCGTTTCAGAACACTGAAATATCTGAGAGAGGCTGACTCGAAATCTCATTCTATACACCTGCGAAGCCAGCAACATGCCAGTGTTCCGTAAATATCTGATGGGAATTCTCGCTTACAATTGCATACTGCATCATGCATGAGATGTCATTCTATTAAGTACTGCTCTGGCCACCTCTACCGAATGCAATCCAAGTGACCGTTCTCCTATCTATATTAATTAATTTTTCGTCAATTCTAAGTACCGTAGCCGATAAACTCCTCACGCTAAATTGCAGCCAATGATCTTGACCCATAAAACATTCGGAAGAAAACAATGCGCAAAAATCAATGGGAGGCGGCGCGCTGCTCCGCCCAGGCCTTGTCAATGGCACATTCGGCCAATCGCTTCAATTCCACAATGAAATCGGCGACCATTTTGAAGTGCACAAGCTCACTTTCATGTAGCTTCCGTGAGAAGATACGTTCAATCATAACTGTGGCGACATTCAATCGGCCCAAGTCTTCTCGCGAATGTGGGTCCAAGGGGTTCTGAAGAATGTTGCAGAAGATAGTGAGCAGCGCGGACATGGGGTAGAAGATAAGAGTCCTAGGACGGATTAGCTTAAGTTCTAGATAGCCATAGCAAGGAACACCTACCAGAAAACCCCGTCGACTACCACATGTTCTGCCGCCTCGAGGTAACATAGACTTGATCGACTGGCCTCTACTGAAAGTGCCATACTTGAACTCACCCCATCCATCATGCCACTTTGTCCTTGCATCCATGCCTTGCATCTTCCACTCGCTTGATGGATGATGGTCATACATAGGTGATAGTTCAGACGCAGCATGACAGTGTTCATACCCATGTTTGGGTCGGAGGTCTCAGAAGAAAAGGACATGGTTGGACGCCATTTAGGAGGGACTGATAGCCGCCATTCTTCTAGCGCGTCATCGAGTTCTCGGATTGACTTGAGCAGCTCGGCATCTGATTTTTGGAGACAGCTGACTGAATATAGCTCTCGATGCGCTCGGGCTTTGATCATACTCAAGCGTAAGTCGAATGGAAATACTGCACCAGACCATGGAGCCTCCTCGTCGTCCACATCCAAGAATGCTCGATCAAGATAGCCCGGCGGAAGCGTCAGCTCACAATTTTCGTCAGTGATCGTAGGTGGCTGACCCGTGCGCAGGGCAAGGTCCTTATCAATCGTGTAGCAAATCCAAAATAAATTCCGTAGTTGTGCATGCTTTTGCTGGCTGCGCGCATCCCTCGCGGTGGCGAGACCGCTAAAAAGATTGCCACCAAGCATGAAGATGAGTCGCGCAGCAATCGCCGCGTAGTAGTTTGTTGCCCGCATATTTCCGGAAGATAATTCGAAGAGAGTCTGATCGATTCACTGGTCAGTTATCGAAATCATGCACCAGGGCGGGCTCACCTACCATCATGGTAACAGCCTGGGCTGCGTCCAGACTGGCAGTCTCTTGTAATACTTGAGGCATAAAGAACTGCGCCTTGGTTGCAAGTAGATCATGATCGACTGGAGCGGTTGTAGTCGCGCTGGCAATGGTTTTGACGTGGGGTAGGCGAGAAGCAAAGGTAAGAAATGCGATGACACAAACTCTGGCACTAGCTTGGCCATATTTGAGGATAGACGTCGACTGACTGTAAGCTTTGTTGAGGGTCTCCTCGAAAAGATCCAGATCTATGATAGGAAAGATGCGCTGCATCACCTTGGAACTCTTATATGCGTGGAAGTACACCTGCACTGTTCTCCAGTCGGGAAGTTCATAGGGATTGCAAGTGTTAGGGTTCGCATTCATGTTCATCAAAACAGTGTTGAAGGTTTGTCCACGCTCTTTCTCCCAAGGTGCTCGGGCTGGACTAAGTTTGTCAATTGCACTATACTGTCCTGTGCGAGCTTTGATCCATTCCTGCCCCTCGGGGAAGAGAAACGGCGTGCCTGTGAGTAGACTGATGGCACCCAGTTCTTTGCCTGCAAAGTGAACTCGCACTGACGATGGATCTTGAAACTGAGTGTTACTTGGCGAGTTGGTGGCCGTCGTGTTGGCTTCGTAAGATTGAGGTGAGTCTTCAGGCACTTTTACCAATTAGCTCTTGGATTGCTCCTCTGCATATTGAAGAGAACACTATACCAGAGATTTGATCGGCCACTAAGTTCTCTGCCAGAAGCTGCTCGATGCGACTAATTCGCTCCGATAGCCGTGAAACTTTGGGGCGTCTTTATCTTCCACGTCAGACACACGAAAGAACAAGCTCGAGGTACAGGCTCACCCCTCATCGTTGACATTTTTTCTTTTCCTCTGCACCACTCTGTCGAATGTGCAGGGGATATTATGGTGACTGCACCAATTACACTGCGGAAGCGCCGCATCACATTTGATCTGGGACTAGTTTAGCGACGAGGTCGAGAGTTGATCAAGAACAAATCCAAAACCTTTCTTTTGTAACAGGAGTCACACGCACGGGCAGTCCGTGTCCGCGGCTGATCATCCGACGTATTAGATGCCGGATACATTATATATCAATGCTTTGATCTCTTTTTTTCCCCAGCGAAATTGGCCATTAAGCTCAAAAGGTTGCCACTGTCTCCGGGGCACCAGGGCCCCGAAAGCCGCTGACGAAATGACCGCTGACTCAGCAAATTGATGCCTCAGGCATAAACGAGTGAACACTAACTAAATAGTTAACAAGTTAACTATGATTGACATTAAAAACTAGAAGATATTTATATCAATTAGTTTATATCGTATCCATGATTACTGAGATCACGTAAACTACAAACCAAAAAAGGGCCATTAAATAATAAATATATTGGTGCGCTCAGGGTATCGCATGTACCCAACCATCAAAATCCCCTTGGACCCTGATCCGCAGATATTCCCCCGTATATAATTTTCTTCTAACCTCTCCACATGCGATTTGACCATCCGCCACCGGAATTCCCAGAATAGCACGGAGTATCTCGAGGGAGATTGAGATAAATGGCAGCCAGCTCACATCACCGTGCATATGCAGAAATCGCACTCTTCATCACCACAGTCACAGCCGAAGCATGGCTTAGAGACTGATTTGATGGGCTTTTTAATGGAGCTACCGGAGCTGCTGGAAGGAAGGATGCAGTCAAAAGGGGTTGAAATAGAGGTGACCGCCATGGTGGAGGCTAGACGCGTAGGATCTATTGAGATTGTCAGTTAGATATCTGGAAAAAAGAGAGAGAGAAAAAAGTACAGCGTACCGTCAAGCAAAGATATAATAAAGCAAAAACAAAAACAAAAACAATATAGGGCTAAAAGCAGTGGGGGGTTGAGGGGGAAGATGAAGGGGAAAAGTTGAGAAAATCAGGTCCCCAGCAGGCAACCATATAACCCTGGAACTTGATATAAATTAATATAACATAACTATGGAGTAACATAACTAACTACATAACTAATTATATTAAATATGTCAACTATGTCAACTATGTCAACTATGTTAACTATGTTAAATATATTAAATGTTCCCACTTAACTTCAACTAAAGAACAGATCTCGACATACAATTTTAACTAAAATTATATTGATACTCCCGTATACTCTTGGCTTGTTTTTGGCCTGGGTTGGGGTTGTCCTCTGCTTTATATTCTCTCCACTCGCACCTCTTCTTGAATACGAATACCGTCATTACTGTTTCCACACTGACCCACTAGAATCTCTTCATCACTCCGGCTATAACCAGTAGTAATATATGACTCGGTATGCCCCTCCTGTACAACACTAAAAGCCGTAGTGTCCTTTGTCAGGTTCCGCATGCGAAAGCGAGCGGAATGTTTGGACTCTTCATGTTTGACATATCTGCCCTCTGAGCTCTCTGGACGCGATCCATGGACAATGGTGCGATATAAGGGACGGACCGTGGGGATGCCAACGCAGATAAGGGTGACCGCCAGTTCAACAGCGGACCAAATTATGAGGTCAACCGTATCCTCTAAAAAAGGAGCACATTTGGAAATTAGTGATATGTAGGGGGACTGAGAGGTTAAGAAGTGGATTACCAGTGTAGTTGGAGCTGGACATCCCGCCCAGTTCAATGGTTCTGATAATCCCGCAAATACAGGCTCTATAGATAAACATTAGTCTATATCCATAGAGGTCGAGGCACCGAAGTGACACACACATGAAGCCCAGACTCAAGCTAATTGCGATGGACATCTTTTCCTTGAATTTCATGTTAAGATTCCAAATGAAGATCCATGGAAGAAGAGCAAAGTAAAAGTCCACAGCAGCACACCAGCCTAGATTGCATGGATATTAGCATATGGCTCCTATAAAGAAGTCAAGGAGATCGAACATACATCCGAGCAAAACGGAGATCGCGGTGACTGGCATAACGGTATGCCCTGAAACGCGAGGGTCATATATAGATTGAGATGGAAGACGCTGGACCCAGAGGGTGATGGCGGTTAATACCGACACAATGAACAAGCTGATCATCGAGAACCATATTGAAATACGATGCCATTGCTTGACAACAATGCGAAGCAGGAAGATTCCCAGCGACAGCTTCGCAATTGCCATTCCTAAGACGGCAAATGTTTGTCCAATCAGTTCGTTATAGACGGCTTTCACGGCTGGGTCTATCTCCAAGGTATCTATGGGTTGTCCAAATCCATGTACACCAGCAATCGTGAGAAAGACGGTATAAAGAAGTAGAAATACCTAGAGTTTGGTCAGCATTCTATCATATTTAGGTAGCCCTGGAAGATCTGCCTTGGTGGTGTTTATAGATGGAATGGGAAAGGAAACCTACCCAGGCCAAATTGAAGACATGATCGTCCACTCCAAGTCCCTTCACGATATAGATTCGTGTATAGAGCCTGAGAGGAATCAGGACAAAAGAGATTAAA